CCGGTTCAAACGCCTCGCAGCCCGGCCTGCCAGATCTCACGGCCGAGACCGACTGGTCACCGTGCCCGACAGCTGAGGAGGACAAAAAGAGGACAGTGCACCTGAACGGTGTTCAGCCCCAGGCAGGAGATGCGCGAGCCTGCTCGTCACGGGTGCAGTGCCAAGCCACCGAATGTAACGAACAGACCCTTCAGATCAACGTTTCGCCTATGGAGGAGAACCAGCCTTGCCAGACGGCCGTCGCGGTGAGCGAGGAATGCCAACAAATCGTGCCTCACACGGAAGTTGTGGACTTGAAAGCGCAGCTTCAGATGATGGAAAATTTGATCAGCTCTAGTCAGGAAACCATAAAAGTGTTGTTGGGTGTTATACAGGAGCTAGAGAAAGGAGAAGCTCACAGAGAAGGGTGAGTAGAAGCTTTTTAAATGAGTATAAGCTGTTTTAAATGCCTTTGAATTTGCCAATGTAAATTTACACCCGCCACCGCGCGTTCCTCTGCAGCACGCCAAGACGTTACACGTTGTGCTTCACATGCGGACTAAGTTTTGCTGCTTTAGAGGCGAGTCCTAGGGAAACCTGCCAGCAGTATTCACAGATTTGGGATCTGCTTGTCCTAGGATGTAATTAAGTAGTTATTTAATGAAGGACCTATAATATCTCGTCTTGTACCTTTTCTAACAAGCGCAGAACGAGCCGCTCTCCAAACAGGATTAGCGAGGATGCTTTCACATCAGCAACTTGTACTAACCATAATACCTCACAAGGCATGAAAAGCAGCAGAAAAACCTTAATTCTGTAAGAGAATTACCTTTTTAAGATTAAGGGATATTATTACAACTCTTAATATAATTCCATTAATGGCATATGAATCTTGTCTGTTTTTCTTTCACCTTCTGAATTTTTAATGGTATTTCTTTCAGGAGGAAATTAAATTAAAACTTTGAATATCAAAGTCTTCTTTACAGCATTCACGCTACTCTACACATGACAAACTCAAGCATAAAGGGACAAAATTTTGTTTATCTCCAATTTACATTACTTAAATCAACCTATAAGGCATTACAAATAACAGTTACTATAACAGTACAACCTTTAGTCTTTACCTAGACAGTTCAACCCGTCTCTTACATTACCCTGAAAAGCATTTTGCAGACTTACTTGCCTGTGTTCACTAATCTTTATTCAATGAATGCACCTCAAAATGTACGTGCACTGTTTGTGTGTTTTTAAATACTTTTGTAATTAAATCACAATTTGTCAGAAGAAATCTGGATTTTAAAATTCGAAACCAGTAGCTCATGCTACTTGAAGCAGCACATGTTTTCATTTGAGTCAAAAAGGTACATCTTAAGATTTGTAATTCAACTTTTTCTCTAGGAATATAGAAATCATCATCTTAATCCTAAAAATTCAAAATATTTTTCATTAAAAAAATCATCTTAGCTGTTGGACAATGCTGTCAACATAGCCTTAGCATTTTTAGCTTATTTTTACAGCTGGTTATAGTATTTTAAAATCCTTGTTAAATCCTGGATCTTCAGACTGGGAAGCTTCTTGATCTAACTGAAAGCAACTCAGGCTTACTGATTTTTATTTTTTTAAATTATTACTCAGAAGAAGTATTCCTCTGACTTTCTTAACTTACAGAAACTGCAAGAGATTTGGAAAGAAGTGGCATGCTGCTTGTCAAATTACAAAATATGGAAAAATATTTCCTCATCATAACTCATCATCTGATCATCGAGAACTCTGTGTGTATGAACACACACATCTACCCACAAAGTCATCTGCTTCCTCCATACACTTATATATCAGGTTTTTATCTTTTCCCAAAGATAGTAGAGCAACAGGTGCAGCAAATACTTTTTTTTTTAATTGCCCTCACATAAGCAGACCCATTTAACGTAGCCAACATTAGGAGCATATCCCTGCCCTCAGCACAAAAGAGGTCTTGCCCAAACTATCGATGATTGCTCATATCTTCAAATAATCCTTCTGTAGTTGTCAACCTGACAAAGCTGTAGCCTATATTAGCCCTAAAATAGTGGAACTATCCATAAACCCCAGTTCTTCAGGATATATCTACTGCCTCTTATACACACAGACTTGTGTATTAGAGTCTGGCAAAACCACATTATATTTGACCAAAAAGCGCATATTTATTAGCACTCCTTTACTTCCCCCCATAGGTTCCCCAGCAATGGTGAAATCACCACCTAAAGATACATCGCACATTTTGAAATCTTTTCAAACATGTTGTGGTATGTGGAAGAGACAATTAAAATATTTTAATGATTCTTTGACATTAACTGTAACTGGTGGCAGTAACACCAGTGGTCGAGGTTAATTACAAAAATTGGAAGCAAAGTATCTACAAATCAAAGTGAGATTTCAGATAGGGGGGTTGTTTTAAACACGACAACAGACAAAAGTGCTGCCTTAAAACTTAACTGAGAGTAGAAAAGGGTTTCTACTTAGAGTTGCTTTCAGCTACTCTTCTATATGCCCTAGGCATGTTCCAAACATGCCCCCTCCCAGCTAAACATGAAGGATGAAGAGATGGGGAAGGAGAAAAGAAGGGAGATACATACTTGCATATTTTCTCCTGTTTTAGGAATTCCTGTATTCCAGATCCCTCTAATTTTCTAGCACCTGGGTGACTTTAAAGGAGATTGCACAAAGGAGTCCAGCATTATGCTTGGGACATTTCTGTTCTCCACTGATCACACTCCAGAGCTGAAAGAACACGGATCTCATGCAAAGCACCAACGCATTATTAACATGAAGCCTGTCTTTATCCTTATTTTCCTCAAATTAGACAACTATTTCAACAATAGGTTGCCCCATCCTTTTATTAGAATAATTCTTTCCAATTATTGCATTCAGTTCTACATTTTTGCCACAGAGACCCACCACTGTGTACATTAACTATAACATATCTTCTCAATTTTAGCATGTTGATCTTTTTTCCTTTTATAACCAGGTGTTAGGTCAGTTTATAACACGAAATTAAAAGCAGTACTACTGCTACATCTCTGCTTATTGTAGCATATACAAGTCTTCCATCTGCTAAAACAGAAAATGTTCTGTGTTTATGGCACTCTCCTGGTTTTCTTATGTGTATTAAATTCCTTACAACAACATACATCAAGAAACAAATACAAATAACACACTGCTGGTAAAAAAAAAAAGAAAAAAAAAAGAAAAAAAAAACCACAAACAAACCCACAGCTAAATCTCTTAATCAGATTTTTCTCTCTTCAAGAAAATCAGTGTTCTTTAAGTGCTGTTGTAGTGCCATGGGACTAGCGCTCAGTGGATTCATTTTCACTAATATGCTGTAGGTCTTGAACCGCTATTACTGCGATTCATCACTAAACGAGTCTATGCCGGCAAAATTGTATCAGCATCTCTGAAGATAGTAATATCATCCTTTGGGTGAATATAATCTATGTATACTTTTCAAAATGTCAGTACTACATTATCTGCAATTAGCAACAACATACAGCACTCAACTCTGCTGAAAAGAAAGGGAGAAACCACTGGAGGAAGAAGAGAAACACGGAGCAGCTCTAACACCCGACGGAGCCAAAGGCTCATGTTGCTCTGCCAAATCTGAGACTTCGAGGGTGCAGCGTGACCTGTCTCTTCCTCTGACCTGGGATCAGGCCCCGTTTATTGTTCACAGAATGCAAAATTTGGGCCATCAGGAAACACAGCTCTTACCATCATGCACTGCATAATTTTAATGCATTAAATCTATCTAAATAACACATAGTAGATTTGGGGATGGGGCTAGAAGTCACTATTGCTAGCCTGTCACCCTCACCCCCCCAATATCAAAGGAAATTATTAAAACTGCGTATTTCTTATTTGCATCATTATTTACTAAATCTTTGGCAAAATGGTAATTATACCTTACTATGTGGAAGCTTCTACAAGAAAAAAAAAAATTACATCACAGCAAAAGGCATTCAACAATGTTAAGTCATGCATGAATAAAAGTAACAGAGCTACAGTTTCAGTTAAGACTCCCAGCTCAAAGTTGAAAAAATGTTGAATATTACACGATGCAAGGTGCAGCTTTAAAACACAAAACAAGTTTTATGCTCCGAGTGATGTTTGCTTTATCTTCTAGTAAACTATTAGCAATCAACTATAGACATATTTGTCTATATTCAGATACAGTCCATTCAATTAAGCAAGCCAAATTCTGCTCTGTATGGAGCCTCACTAAGGTCGACAGGATTGAAAGCAAAATGCAAGTCACTAATTGCAAAACCTGGCTAACTAACACCTGTGAAATATGTAACAGGAGATGAACAGATAATCAAAAATACTTTGCTGCGGGAGAACACCAATGACCTGCCCTTTAAATCATTACCATGAAAAGTAACAGTAATCTAGGCCCTTCTCATTATACAACAAATCAGCAATTTTAATGAACAAAGTACTCAATTTGCCATACAAAAATAAGTCACAGTATTTTGACTCTGACATGCCAAACGCTAAACATTAGACAAGAGTTAAATGAACCTGTTTCAGAGATAATTCATATTCATTTATTAATCAACAGTGGTTCAGGAATTTGAAGAGCTCTCAACAAACATTCATGAAACAAGAAGTCCCAGGCTCCTTCGAAGAGGCTTTGAAAGAATATGGTCTCATGGATGGAATTTAAATGTCATTTCATATTTTCCAATGAATAAGGGATATTTATGTCACTTATTATCATTTTTAAGCAGAAAATAAACCAATACTGTGTGTGGCTAGATGGACATTTGTATCAAAGAGGAGAGGAGAGCTCCACCCGGTGCAGAGACAGCATCCTCACCCAAGTACTTCTGTCTTAAAAATACTGCAAGCAATCAAGGTCACGAGAGTTGAGCATAAACTTACCATCCTGACTCAGGAGCAATGGCAAATGAAAGTCAGATAGCCAAAGCAATTATTGCCCAGATTGTTTGCTTTTCTCCTTTTCAGAAGCTACTTCAAGTCCAGTCCAGCTATTCAGCTGAGACGAAGGAGACAGAGCAAATAAAGGTAGTAACAACCTCTGCTGTCTTACTCAATCCATCTACACACACAAGCCAATACTCTTAAAAACTGGGGAGTTCCTTATTTCACATAAGGATAAAAGAAAGCTTAAAGAGTTTACAAGAATACAGCCTCTGAAAGCACAGCCTTTGGAAGTAATGTGCTAGCTGCAGAAATAATATGACATGGTTTTGTTTGGGATTTTCCCCCCCTCTTTGGTTTTGTTTTACTTTTTCAATTACCAACATGGCAAAGGAAAAGTTTAAGAAAATCATTTCTAAAAGAAAACCTGGAAATGGAGGGAAGCAACAGATAGATAAGCTTAACAGCAGAAGACAGCTGCACTACAAATAAATATATGAAAACCAG